GCACCCTCTGAAGCTGTGTCCTGCAGGCCTGGCTGCAGGGAACGTCCACTCTGTACTTCACAGCTGAACCTCGGAGGCTGTGACTGGGGTGTCTTCCAGAACCCCCTGCATGGTTGTAAAGCGCAGCTGGGGTTAAGAATCACTGGTCTGTTTTGGGGGGCGACCTCTGGAATGCGGCGCAGTGCACATGGGTTGGAGGTGTGCAGGGGACAGCATCTAAGACTTCTTGTTTATTTTTAGTTATTTATCTCCGAGTGGAAACTGGGTAAACTATCAAGCTGATCAAATTCTTGCTTCATTAGGACCTGCTGTCATTGAATTAAATGTTCACTTTTTGTGGCTTTAGCATTTTTTTAAGTTTTAGGTTAATTATGAGGTTACATACGATTAGGTGACAGTGTTTGCGTTTGTAAGGTAAGTTCAAAGTGCAGCTTTGCTTCAGAGAATTTCGGGCAGGGCATTAAGGCACTGACGCTGTGAAGACCATTTAAGGTGGCAGTTCCCAGATGTTCAGAGACACCTGTGAGTGGTCTTGGCACCCTGAGACACACAGGAAGTCACTACTGCAAGGACTTTCAGCCTCAGACAAGATGACAATGGAAGGTTTGTGTGATAATTACATTTTATTGTGGCCATTTGTTTGTGAAAATTGGTCTAGACTAGTGATTTTAAACAGTGTCACATGGCACACTGGTGTGCACTGAGAGGGCCTTAGGTGTGCCTGCAGAAGTTTTAAAGATCAGTAATTAAATTATTTTCAAAAGAAGTTTGAAGCACAGTTAGTATATATATATTTTTTTAACTCTCTTTTGATCAACATAATTTAAGTGTGCTGTGAAAGCTTAACTATGGGTTAAAAATACAGAAAAGGTTGAAAAACACTGGTGTAGACTTTGCCGTAAAGGTATTTTGTAGACGTGATTAACATTTGCCATCAGCGAACTTTAAGTAAAGGAACTTGCTATTGATAATGGAGGAGTGTGAGTGGATGTTATACAATCAGCTGAAGGCCTTCAAAGCAAAACCTGAAGTTCCCCACGAAAGGAGAATTCTACCTGAAAACTGACACAGAAATCCTAGATTTTAGACACAGCAGCGTCACAACGTCACAGCCACTTCCTCAGCCTTCTTTACCCCCCTGTCCCCTTGCTTCTGCTTCTCAGAGACCCCTGACGTAACTTGTGGGTCCTCGTTAGAAACAGGGTCGAGTTTGTGTACTTGGAGTCATGGTGAGGACTTAGGTTCTCGCATGAAGGTGATAAATAAGGTGTACAAAACTGAGGGCGTTGTATATAAGAGAAATTAACTGGTAAAATCAGCCGCGCTGGATGGTGGACGGTAATTCAAAAGCATCTCTTTGCTGTTGAACAGCACTTACAAAGGGAGCATAATTTTGGTAATGTGTCAAAAGTTCTATTTCTGTTAAATGAAACACATGAAATGTGGGCATGATTATGCATGTAAGATCTAACATTAATTCCCACTAAAATGATGATATATTTGGGCCAGTGATTCTCAATATAAGAAAAAATGGTGAAAGGTGTTCAGAATTTGCTGGAAAAAGGGGGCAGGGTGGAAACATGACTTTAGACAATTGTGTGACATTTATTGGCTCCCTAGTGAGAAAAACACACAGGTCACCGTCTCAAGCAAAAAGAAATACTTGGCCAACATGGACCAATTTGCAGTAGTGAATGAATGATTTGTAAATGTAATGTCTTAAATAAGAGAATTTTAGTTTTCTGAAATTCACACAGCAATAATTCTCAGAAATATTCAAAGGAAAGGGATCAGTTGTTAAATAAATTCAGAAACGCTGAATTGTACATAGTAAATTGTGATCCTTCAAAAAGAGGCACTCAGCATTGCCTTTCCAGAATGAATGTGACTGGGGACACCTTCTCGGCCCGTTAGCCGCTGTTGGGATGCGGCAGTGGAGACTTAAGACTCACTCTGTCCTTTGCTACACTGTGGGCTTGAGCCCTGATCCCGAGAGTCAGTCTCTTTGTTTGACGCTTCAGTAAGATAATTTTGAAGTGAAAGAATTTTGTTTTAGATAAAATCTAAAATGCTGCCTCTACATTTAATGGAGAGCTTATTTCTGACTTTATGGCATCTGAAGAACTTCTTGATTTGAGGTTTATTTCTCACTTTTCAAACTTTGTGGGAGGTAGGGCTATACCTCCTTTTTAAAATTTTCTCTCTACATATACATGTGTTTATTTAGTTTCCACTTTTTGCCTTCACAAAATTAAAATGGCTTAAAATTTAATAACAATCACAATGTTTAAGATCAGGACTAGAAACAAAAACCTCATAAAGAATGAATGAAGATAAATACATTTGGAAAAGAAATCAGATGATTTCTACAATGAAATGTTGAGCAATAATAATAATAATGCAAAAAACATTCACATTGTCAGATAAAAGTATATCCATCATAGGATGCTTTGATTCTGAGGTTCAGTATGGAGTCATCAGTTAACTACTTCTTTTTTTTCCAAGTCTCAAAAAATAAACAACTAATATTTATAAATAAAAAATAGAAGATAATTTTCAAAAAGCAGACCATGCCAAATGTTATAGACAATAGAAAAAGAAGAAATACTTCAAAATCATTCTACTTCATCTGGATACACCTGATATTAAAATTGGAAAAAATATATTATCATAAAGGGAAATTACAGACATATTTCACTTATAAATGAGGATAGAAAATCCTAAACAACATATTAACAAGTTGAATTAAAAATTATTGTTCAAATAATGTACTTTGATTAAAATTAAATCCAATTTATGTGAGAATTAGTCACTATTTTCTTTCCTTTCCTCCACCCCTGCCTCCTCTCTCTGTCTGCTGTACCTTCTCCCAGCTGCCTGTGGCAGGCACTTTGCAGCCTCGTCTGTGGCAGCTAACGGTGCAGTCACTTCACCTGGGCTCAGTTAACAAAATGCTCCTTTCTGGGACTCAGAATCTGAGAAGCGACTGGGATGATTCTGGTTAATTTGACTCTAATTATTTTTGCCCCAAACTTGCTTCACCTCTGTTATGTAACTTTACCTCGACCCTCGGGGGAATTTAGAGTCCCTGATGTAGTTAACTACATATAAGTTTCCCATGGTTTGTGTTCATTTCAAAGAGGTTATTTATTTTGAAAATGTGGTATTTCTTTTACAGTAGAATATAGAGTTGAAACACTTTTATTTTCCCTGGACAAAGAGGGTACATAGAATATCATGTTTTACGTATGGCAAATTGAGTTAAGCATTTAGTGCTTAACTAAAGGGCTTTCAGTTTTTAGAACGTCAATAAATTGCTCTCAGGGGTCTTTAGCAAAGGCAAACTCATTCAGGCCACAAAGATTTTCTTTTTGCAAAACAGATACTACCTAATTAAGGCCATGCGACTTGCAGCTGGATGTAAGAAGGTGGTCTCAGGGGTGATTAAGCTCATCTTGCTGAGAAGTGAGGCCTGCCAGGCTTTACGGTGGGAGGGTAGACAGTGTGTTTGTAGTGGTAGCAACAGGGCATGGAGTTTAGTGTTTTGGGAACTGGAAAGCGATGGTTAATACTGTGAATCCTTTAAAGAGACATAGCCCAGATCTAGACACGAGCAGGGCTCCTGGGCTGAGGCTGCCTACTGTGACAACGTCCTAAACACATAGGAGGGTTCTGAAGATCAGCATCACTCTGTCATGTTCACGGTTTGCATTGGATTTCAATTTATTTAGAAAGTAAATCATAATACTTATTCATTGCATGAAGACACTGTAGCTGGAACAGGTAGGGGTATCCCAGATGTCTCTCCAGAAGCTCACTGGTTTTGCTAAAGCCACGAGAGGTTGTTCTTCAAGGTGATTCCAGCTCTAAGTCTCTGAGAATGATGAAAATGGATGATATGTTAGAAAAATGGACCTGATGGACAGCACTGTGACACACTTCAAAAGACACATGTAACGTCCTGTTATTCACATGTCTGCACCAGTGACGAATCTGCCCAGCATGACCCTGATGCCCACTATGGTGCAACATGGGGTTCAGAGTAAAAAGAGTAAGAAGTTCTCCATACCAGTAGTGACACCACATAAACCCTCCCTGTTCTTATGCCCAGGTACCTGGTACAGCAGGGGTCCTCAAACTTTTTAAACAGTGGGTCAGTTCACTGTCCCTTAGACCATTGGAGGGCCAGACTGCAGGCCCTGGGATGAGTTGGCTGCTAAGCAGGACAGGCAGCAGTGGCAAAAACACCCGGTGGGCCGGATAAATGTCCTCAGCAGGCTGCATGTGGCCCGCGGGCCATAGTTTGAGGACTCCTGTTGTACAGTGTTTGCATTTTAGCCAGTGGGGTATGTGACTTCTGCTCCGTAAGAATGAAGAACTACTGCCACTCTCATCATAAGCCTCCTGATCATGGAATTGAGATGATAGTTTGTTTTTATTTTAGCAAAACACTGATGAGTGAAAGTGTCTATCAAATCACCTGCTTTGTATTAAGGCAAACGTGTCACCTTGTTTTTTCCCCCCTTTCCAAGACAGTCTGTAATAGAATTATATCATAATTCTGCTTGCACAAGGCAGGAAATTCCATCTCTCACTATCTTCAATAGGGTTAGTTTTGGGGTGAGGCCAAGATGGGAGATGGGACTCTGCATCGCACCCCAGGAGTGAGGCCAGGGTGGGAGACGGGACTCTGCTTCGCACCCCAGGTCTGCAGGGTGTCTTAGTGAGAGCTCCTATCTGAGGGAGGTACGGCTCTGATGTCAACTCAAGTTTTTAATAAGACTTTAGTTGAAAGTGAAGTAGCATGACAATGTTGGCTAGAAGACATGAATTGTAGGTGAGTAAAACACCTTAAGATGAAAGGCTTCAGGTCTACAAATTGTTCAGATGTCTAGTTAGAGAGGGGTTGGCTTTCATTGAAAAGAATTATATAGTCACTTAAAGTTGGCTTAACAGTTTTAGGGAACGTTTCACCCTAAACAATGTGGCATTTCTGCTGTTGAATAGTTTACTTGTTATAGGAAAAAATCATTGAAGAAATGGCTATCTTCTGCTAGTCTAATTTAAAATATGATGAGAAGATGGGTCTAAGGCGGGGGGGAGTACTCAATACTTAGTCTAGAGTCACTGAGTCCCGTGCTGTGTTCAGAGCAGCTCAGGGATGGCTTGTTTGCTTTCTGGGCAATGCTGGGATCGCTGAAAGAACCTTTTCAAACAGAGCTACAAATTCTTCCTGGATCCACGAACCACAATTTGTTGGTTTTATTCTGAAAACTTAATGTGCAGGTTTAGGTTATGGCCTCATTATTCTTGGATAATTCCCATCACCTTGTGAACAAGATGTAACTTGCTTTTCTCAAGGTGATGGGACTATTCCTGACATGATTGAAAGTTGTTGGGCCTTTATCACTGCAGACTCTGATTATGATAAATAGGTAGTGGGTAAAGCTGAGCTCAGGAGAGTCGATGAATGTTGTCAAATCTATGAAAGAAATATGCAAATTATTTTAGAGCTCTTCATCTAGGTAATCAACATGCATATGGTTGGCTAATTAAGTGGGGCCGACTGAGGGATTAATTAAAGATCAGAGAAGAATGTTAACAGGCACCAGAGAAATGATGCAAACAATTCTATAGCAGATGACGATAATGACCATGAACCAGTGGAATCAGTATATTAGAATATTCACTAATCTGTCACTGAAAAACTGAGCTCATCTCTTGATTTAGTTAGAATTAAACACATTTCTGAAATTGGTTCTGAAAAGAAATCTCTTTAGAATACATCAAATTGGCATTGTTTCCCTTACCAAGGCTACTTCCTCTTATTTCAGTTTATTCTTTCAGAGCCTGAAGGTGTGTACCTAAGACGTGAAGGAGACATCCTGCATTGTGAAGGGTAACATGGTCTAAGGAAAGACATCCCCAAGGTCCAAGTTATCGCAACTTTCCAAACAACCCCAATTCTTAGTTAAAGCTTAAGATATCTTCATGAATAGGAGGTGCGATAATTTCTGTATATTGGGATTTTAACTCTATGGAGATTGAGATCAAGGGGAATTGGAGGGAGGAAATAATTTAGCAGCAACAGACATTATTTTAACTCCAGAATATTTATACCTCAGGGTACTTGCATTTTGCTTACTATTTCTCAGAAATTATTGAGAGAACTTTAGCACATAACAGCTGTGTGTCAAAGCACAGAAACATATAGGTGGGGAGACTTTAGATTCATGTCAGGAGCCACAGAGGCAGCAGTCCCAACAACGTCCTAGTGCCATTGCTTTTATCTGTTTTGCCTGCTTCTCAGACATTTTATACACATCATCTCAATCATCACAGCTTCACTGCAAGGCAGACATTGAAATTTTCATTTTACCAAACAGGAAACTCAGCTTTAGGCAAAAAGACAACTTGCTGAAGGTCACAGAGATGGGTAGCTGGAGTGGGGGCTCCAGTGCAGGCCGAGGGATTCTACAGGGCACTCTACCATGGCCCTTGTGCAGTCTCTCAAAGTGTCACTTTTATTTTTACCACTGCCGATGATTCAAATAATCAATAGTTGGAAAGACAAATATTATGAAATGACTGAATTTCATCAGTGAATGGATTAGAGGCCTTTGTTTCCGTATTATTTTTGGCAGAGTTGTTAGTAAGTCAGCAAAATAAAAATTTGACATCATTGAAAAGCCTCAGTTCAACTAAGATGTGACATAAACCCAGATCATTGTTGGCATCATTTAAAAGTCTCTAGGTGAGATCTTTAAAATTAACATAATGGAGAGCACACACTTTTGCTGAAGTAGCAGAGGTGAGGGTACTTTCATTCTGAGGTATGGAGTTGTATCTAAATAAACTCTTTTATGCCCCTAGTCTCTGCTTCAGGCCTTCAAAACTGCTGAAAATATAATAATTGAAAGAAGTGGTGATATTGTCTCAATAGGGCAGCTTTAATCTGAATCAGAGCTCTTCCCTTCTAAGAACTCTGATATGTCATTTTTATGACTTGATGAACCTGTCTTTAAATTCAAAAATTTCCCCACTGAGGTGCATCAGAATCCCAGGTGTGATCTTTATGCTGTTGTTAGTGCAGATGTGAGGGTGGTGATGTGGTACCTGGCTGGGCACCAGCAAACTGGATCCACACGGTCTGTGTCAGAGGTCAGAGCTGCTGTGTGTACCTGTGTAAGCTCTTTAACTTGTCTAGGTGTGTAATATTCTCAACTCTTTATGTGAGTTTGAATAGATAATCTGATGAAGTTTTCTTTCCCTTCTATGATCTTTAAAATACATTGAGCAATGCTGGATTCTCTGATGCTGCATTAAAAAAAAAAAAAAAAGTACTCACCAAAGATCATGCTCATGCCTGGGACTGCAGGACATTGGTCATCTCAGCATCAATCTGATAATGAAAAACAACATCATGTGACTTACAGAGTATTTCATTTGCAGACTGCTAGGTCATGGGGGAGGTATACAAAAGTTTAAAACCTTGCTCAGATCGTGCCAAAATGATATTTCACATTGCAGATTTTATTGGCCATCTTTTGCATTCATTTGGCTTTAGGTTATCCCTGCTCTTAAAGCATTTACAGTGTGTTGGAAAAAATGGATAAGAAAAAAAAAACCAGTAGAACTTAAAAAGTGCTAAGTATTGAGTGTTATGGGGCAAAAGAGGAGCCTGACTGCTGGGGAGGGATCCCCAGAGAAGGTGATGTATAGCTGGAATCCTGAAACCTGATGCAAGATTCAGCCCAGGTGGGGCTGGTGAGGGACAGGGCAATCTGTGCAGAGTCATGTGCAAAGTCCCTGAGGTAACAGCAAGCCATGGCTGTTTTGAAAACTGCAAGTAGTGAGGAGAATACAAAAAGTATAGAAAGTCAGGCTGGAGAGGAAATTAAGGGTCCCAAATCTCTTGGTCTTATAAAATAACTGGATTTTAATTTTGAAGTAATAGAGAGCTGTTGGAATACTGTATTAATCAGTTGTTTGTATGTGTTACAAAGGTTACTTGACCTAGTGTAGAGGTGGGCCTGGGGCAGCCTGGAGGTGGGGGGCCAATTGACAAGTTGGAGTTCAGGTGATAAATTGCTTAAAATTAAGTACCAAGAGTGTGGAAGAATGTGGGTGGGAGATGGAGCAGTGTTGGGTAATTAGAATTGTTAGAATTTGAATTTTCATTGGCTGTTATGAAAAAGAGAAGGAAAAATCAAGACTCTTTCAGTTTTCATCTTGGGACTATGGGACAATGGTGATGATATTCATAAATTTGGGAAACACAAGAGGAGGTTTTCAGAGGAACACTGTGGCCACATTGTTGTGTATGAATTTCTTGTGAGACATGAGACAAGAAATTATGGGACAAGAGACCTCCACAGATAGTCGAAGAAAAGCCTGGCCCTGGGGGAGAGATCCTGGTTGGAGGGAGAGAGCTGGGATCAAACGATGTGCCTGAAGAGAATGGCTATAAAATGTGGTGGGTGGACATGGGAGGGTCAAGGAAAAAGCTCTGGGAAGTAGAAATTTAAGGGATGAGTAGAGGGAGGAAATGATAGGAAACAGAATAAGAAGGGAACAACCACAGAAAGATAAAAGCAGAAAATGATACTACGGATACAAAGAAATTGTTCCACGGAGAAAGGAATAGTTGTGGGTATCGGCTGTTTTGTAGAGAACAATGAGGACTGAAACCATGAGGAGGCTGTGCCTTTTTCCACGGTGGACGGCACCATCAGAAGCCAGAGCATGGTGCCAGACCACAGAGGGTTGAGGACCCAGCAGGAGGTGTAGGGAGTGAGCATTTGCCCTTGTTTCAAGCATGGTGGCTGTAATGGGAGGAGAAGGAAAAATAGCGAGGGAGGTGTCCAAAATATATTACTGTTTTTTGAGATAAGAGTAACTTTAATCCAAATTGGGCAGAATTGGTAGAGAGGAAATATTGAAGCAAAATAAAAGAGTAAAACTAGTGGACAAAGATTCCAAGCAAGTGAGATGGGTAGAATTCTGAATGCTGCTACTCACCAAGTATCACTTCTGCTATTTAACAAGGATTTTGGATTTTCAGTCAACAGTCTTTTGGTATAAATACTTTGTTTTTGTCATTAGTTAAATTAGGATTGGAGACCATGGCAATGTCTTGGAGGGAGAAGAACAGGCTAACAGGGAATAAACATAGATTTTCCTAACATCATATAACCCTGTAAACTTTATTCAACCTATATAAAAGGGTAATTAAAATGATTTAACATTTAGAATTGTTTTCCATTATTCTATAAATAAATAGATGTGAGGCTATTAATGTTTTTGCTTAACATATAGTAATGGTTTAATAAATGATAGTTATGACATTAAGGGTCATAAAAGCTATTTACACAAAGAGGAAAACTACACCAGATCTCCTGATAATAGAAAGAAGAGGGGGCAGGAAAGAGCGGGGAAGGGGTAGCGACTGGGATGCTATTTGCTGGTCTCTTCTTTGCCCAGCTTCCACTCAGTTATTTGTATTTGTCTCTGTGTTTTCAAGATTTTAGTGATCAATGCCAGCATGTAACAGTGACTTTCTGAATATTCTGGGAGATCACATTTGGGGCATGTTAGAGGAAGCAAAATAAAGAGCTCTCAGAAGACCACATAGGGATGGCCTGTCTGGATGATGGTTGAGAGGGAAAATACATTTCAATTGTGATTTTGAAATTGTATGTTTTTCTACAGGCAATGGGGCATCTATGGCATAAAAAATGAACCAATTTTGAGAGTGTCAGGGTAAAGTCAGAAGAAAATCCCAGGTTCTATTTTCTGGTCATTTAAAGATCCGGGTGAGGGTAGGGGTAGATTTTCATGTAATGAAATACTAATTGAGTGTGGTTCAGAAGCCCCTTTACCACTCTTCCCATGGGTAAGCCATCTGTATTTAGAATATAGAATATTTCGATAGAGATCAATCCCCCCAGATAAGCTCCTAGGAGTGAGAGGAGTATACAGATATTATGTCTAAGGAAAAATTATTTTTAAGCAAATACAGGACAAGAAGATCTGCAAATATGACCCCGATCCAATAGGTTAAGTGGAAATATTCACACCGAGCATGAGGAATGAAAAGCAACAGTATCTCACAGATTCTGCCCTAAGAAGTCAGGAGGAGGCCAGCTGTCCACCTAGTTATGACAAGTCAATTCAGAAAGATGATCAGAAAGGCTAATAGGGAAGTAAGATGGCCGACTAGAGCCATTCAACAGAGGCTCCTGTCCAAAGGGAGAGATAATGGACAGAATGGACTCAAAGAAGCTGAGGGTGGGAAGCTGAGCTAAGAAAGAAGATAGGTAGGTGCACATTATCTCTGCTGAGGCAAACTGTGACTCCAGGAGAACAAGTTACAGGTACAAAGCCCATTGCCAAGAGGATGAGAGACCCCTCCCCCAAGAAAGAGAGTTGCTGTGTGCTCTCTGCAAGCGAGTAGGGAACAAAAGAGCTCTCATTTTACCCCATGGGAGAGAGCCACTAAATACAGGGCCTCCTTCTCTAGGGAGGTCCCACTTGTGAGCCTCGGCATAATCCTGACTGAAATAAAGTTGAGCAAATATTTTTCCCACAAGTCTGAACTCCCAGTTCACCCTTCCCCCCTTGCCTGGAGGTCTGAAGGCCTGCTCCTGGCAGAGCCCAGAGTATTCAGCAATTCCTTGAGAGGCTTGGGCATTGTATGTGCTGCTGGACAGTAGCATGGAAACAGTGTCTGAAGTGGAAGTTGGGGCACAGGGAGAGAGAGATACGTGGGAGAGAGATGCATGGCACTGTGACAGTGTGCAGTGGGTGAAGGTGCTTATACCCCAGATCATACTTTGGTGGTGCACTTCCCTGATTCCATTAATCACTGGAGGGAGTCAGACTTTGGGGTTGCCAGTGGCAATGAGCAGCAGGAGCAGAGGTGCTGACTGCACAGGGAGAGGAACAAGTCTCTAGGAGAGAGAAATGAGCTGTGACAGTGCACCGCAGGTGGAGGTGCTCATGCTCTGGGTCAGACTTTGGCAGTGCACTTCCCTGCTCTCTGGAGGGAGCCAGGCTCCAACCCCTTGGGTTTCCAAAAGCATGAGTGGTGGGGGGTGGAGGCGCTGATGTTTCTGGACTGACTCTTTGGTGGGATGTACCTTCCTGACTCCATTGCTCACTAGAGGGAACCAGACTCCAGCCCCTCAGACTTTCAGGATGGAACTGCCTGTAGATCCCCACTACTGGGTCACTGGAGACCCTTTGAACTCTCCCTGTTGAGGAGTGATTGCACTGCCTGGGAAAATAAGGTTAGAACTCTTGTCCTGGGCTGTCTACTTGGAAACCCTCCAAGGTTGAGAAGTCATTGTTTTGTAGGGAGAGGGACTAATTCTCCTCCTCTACCTGTCTCTGGTGGGGTATGGGACACCGCATTTGATTGTATCTCTCTCCAGCTGAGACTTCAGCCCCATACCACAACTCATTAGGATTGGATAGAGGCTGGCTGACTATAAGACAGAGCCAGCTAATGCTATCACACCAAGCAGATCCTCATCTGGCTGAGGCTCTGAAAGGGACCTTTGTAAAGCTGTAGGGGAAAAACCACAATTACCAGCCCCAGCTCATTGATAAAGTGCTGGTTAATTCCATTTCCTGGGCCCTCAATCCAATCTTACCCTACAAGTTTTACTAGCCAAACTGCAGAAAATAATTATGGGGCAGAACCAGAGGAAGAACTCTGGCAACATGAATAATAAGAGTAGATCAACCCTCCTAAGGAATGACAAAGGAAATATTACAGAAGATGCAATTAATAGACAAAATGCTGAATTGTCAGAAATAGAACTCAGAGTACGGATGGCAAATAAAATGAGTAGAATGGAGGAAAAGATGGAAATAGAAATCCAAAGAGTTGTTCAAAAAGTTGTCTCAAGAAATTAATGAATTTGGCTTGTGCCTATAGCTCAGGGAATAGGGCATAGGCCACATACACTGAAGTTGGTGGGTTCAAGCCTGGGCCAGGCTGGCTAAAACAACAATGACAACTGCAGCCAAAAAATAGCTGAGCATTGTGGCAGCCACCTGTAATCC